CTTTTCTGATCCTAAAGCACCTTTCAGAAAAATCTGTCTCCTACAACTGTCACAGCTCTCTACAATGGATTAGTTTTCTGGGAAAAACTAATCATGCTTGTTTTTGTTCCAATAATATTTTGAATCTTCATCTGAATTTACAATATTCCAACTGGATCTTACATTCTTTTGTTTTACATGGTTCACACACACAGTGGCAGCATACTCTCTTTTCCTTTGTGCACAAATTTACAACATAACTCCAGTAAATGGAAGAATGTGCATTTTCCAGCATGAACAAGATCTATACAACTAATTCCAATATATAGTATTCATGACAAGTATTTTTATGCTCAAAACTGCCAGACTGAAGCAAATGAATGCAGATATTGCTTCTGTGTTCACCTTCCAAGCAAGACTGTAACTCTGAGTATCAGTGAAAATAATTTTAACAAACCTAAGATCATCAGTTTTGATCCAAAACTTGTGATTCTGAACATACTAATATTCTCTGATTAAAAAATTGAAATTAATTTTCTGAAACAAAATTTGGTATACTGCAATTTCTTATTCACACCATGAAAGTCAATGCAATATTTCTCACGTTCCAGTTTTGTAACATATACTTACCTGACATCAAGTTTCTGAAGATTTTCCAGTTGTCCTAAAGCAGAAGGAAGTGATGTCAGCTGATTATCATGCACCTGGAAAATAAAGTTTTTAAAAAAATGTACCTGCCTCAAAGTAATCGCAAATAGCAGCACTGCAACTACCAAGCTGCAAAATCCTACTGAACTGATAGTAACCACTAAAGGATTAGATATGAAGGGCGAGAGTGAGTCCAGAATAAAACTTTCTAGATCTTTCTACAGAACAGTACCCACTATTACCAGCATATAAAGTGATGCATTATCACAGTGATCTGTGTTTTTTCTTTATCCTGAGAACACACCAGTGCCTCTTCTACACATTCAGCACTGCAGGGCAATGGAAAACAAAAATCTAAGACCATGTTTTCCCACCTCTTACAGAGAGCTCGGTCATACCACAATGGGATCATCGGATCATCATACTTACATCCAGGACAGTGAGCGCAGGCAGAAGTTGGACATCCTCTGAAAGACACTGCAGTTTGTTTGAAGCGAGTATCAGCTTGGTCAGATCCGTTTGCTCCCACCAGCGATCCGCAGCACCAAAAGAGAGATTCTGATGAGCTTCCTCTGAAGTATCCAAATTTATCCGCCACACATGTTGAGGCACTATGTACAGAAAAAGACATGCATCAACTAAATTCTGGTGATGCTTACTCTCAAGCTTTCACCATCATAGTGCTTTTCATATATACATACACAAAGTATACATAGAGTCAACTGCACTTCTAGAGCCATTGTTCCACAGGTGACAATACCAACAGATGCAGGGTAGATGCATGCTGTGCATGCTTTGTTGTTGTTCCCTGTTACTTTCCCATCCTGCCCTCACGGCGTGGTCCGGCGCAAGCCCAGGTCACAGCAGGCAGGGCCCGCTCCACCCAGCTCTCCCGCCCTGCCCGGAGTCTCCATGGGGCCTGGATCTGGCTCACCCTCAGTCAGGCCCCG